TACACAATATGATTAAACCAGGTACTGTACTTGAAAACAATAAGGAAGCAAACCTTACACGTCAAAAGTGTCAAATGTTGCCTACACAAAATCTGTACTTTATTAAAAGAGTAAATCTACTAAAGGGGTGTCGTCAATGGAGATATGCACACATAATGAGTGTACGTGGTCACTGTGCATGGGGTTGTCTGACAGCACATAACTGCTGACCTTAATAGAGAGTGATTGATTGCACAAAGGTTTCCATGCTGGTGCATCTGCGCTAAAACTGTCTTTGTAGCTATGCATTGCGCGATATGAATCAACCTTTCAATTTGAAATCAACATTTCTATGGAATTGTGTATCCATTCAATTATCTAAAATGTTTTTGTTTTTTTTGTTTTTTTTGGTGATATAAGTGGAGGCGCGCGTCGCAGGCGCCACCTCTAAATCCGCCCATGCAATATGCATAAGAATGCTTTTTAAGAAACGAAATCCGGGTTGAGATACAAAGAGAAAAACAAAAGCAAGACTGACAGATGGAAAACCAGAATTCGAGACACCAATATTCCTTCGTCATGTTTAATGTATTTGAAGACATTACGTTACTTGTTTACTAATTTTAATGTTTTATAATATTTATAAAATTATAATATATTTTTTTTATTAAATAAGGATTTGATTTAGTGTTTTTAGTAATTTTATGTGAACCACTATGTATATAAGCGTACGTAACTACGTGTTTTTTTAAACATGCGTGTATCCTGGCTATTAGATCGCACGTCCTGATTCGTCAGCCATTAAGTTTGATCATGGTTTGATTGACAGTCCATAAAAAAAACTAATTGGCGCTTGCGTTTGTTTCAGTCCTATATTATGTTTATATTTTAGGCCAACGTATGTCCGTGTAAAGCTCAAGGTACTCGATATTGACATGACATAACCTATATTATCTTTACACTTTGAGCTTAATTGAAGGTCTACACACCAGGATTTGTATTTAACTTTAATCTCTGTTTAAACCTACACCAACACCTACAGTGGATGCCACATGTTAATACTTGGCCTTAACTTGATTTTCTTTTTCATTCCATGAAGTAGTGATGTTTAGCTTAAGTATTAATTAGTTTTGTAGGCCTTTTTAATATATAAAGACGGATTAAAGTAATATACATTTTTTTTATAAGAACCAGTAAAATTTTGCCCAGGCTCAGTGTTCTTATCTTTTGGCCGATTTCAGGCTGAAAATGTTCTTATTTTGTTCCTATTGTTACACACTTTTCAAACTTCAAAGTATTACAATATACACTGTACTGTACCGTAATATAGGTATAAGTCGCCCTGGAAAAAATGCTCCAACTGAGAGGAGGTACATCTACTGTACTGTATTATAGAGAGTATTATATAATCACACCTACTGAACTTAAGGTACAAATAGGCCAATAAGTTTTGTTTTTTTTTTCATAAAAATTTCATTTGACATTTTACGTGAGACTCAATTTGTTCTTATTTAGTTCTTAATTTTTAAGCAATTTCAGCCTCATTGTTCTTATAAAAAAAGTGTATTATGATACTTCATGAAGGTTTGTATGGTGCGATTCAATAAAAAAATAAAGAAATTATCCGTACACCATGTGTAAAAATAATATGGTTGTTTAGGGAAAACCACTGGTTGGTTGTCTAGGGAAAACCACTGGTTGGTTGTCTCGATGTTTCGGTGAGATTGCTGTGATCGTCATCAGCAGAATCATAAAAGATGACTTATATTGGTCTTAAATAGAGAGGGTGATCGTCGGTGATCCATTGTTTCTTAAAACAAAGAAGGTGCAAGGAGTCATGCTTATTAACAAACGCTTAGGCTAAGTGGCAGAGTTCCTAATCTCCAAATTAATTTCACTTAAAGCTGGTAATGCATACACAACTATTCCATCAGATCCAGTTTTGCAGAAAAATAATTTTCCCAAATTAAAGTCAGGCTCCGAAGAAAAAAAAGTAAGGGCGTAACTGCCCTTTTGTACAATCCCCCAGTTTTTAAATATAAAAAAATCTCATTCACTGTTCCCCAGTTTTTCGTTAAACAACCTTTTTTCTGTCTTAGAAAAATAGTTTTACAACATATCAAAACATTTTGTTCCTCCGGAGTCTGACATTAAAACTGAATCTGGTAGAAGGTATATATTAGGAAGACTAAAACTCGCTTCGTTTTTGTATTCATTTTTTTGTATGTGATACTCTATTATAATGTTGTAGGCGTATACACTGTGGCCTATGAGAACAATAATATTATACCGAAGTCAACTCAGTAGAACAACGAGCAAATAATTAAATTTGATAGAAAATTTAAATAAAAAACATGAAAAAAAATCAATAAAGGCAACAAAGACGAAGGTAGACAGCCTACTGTATATTACACTGACCTTTTATAAGAACTTACAACGATTCTGTTTACAACTAAGCCTGATTGTGGCGTGTGGTGAACCTAGTAATGGTTATAACCTTGTGTTATTTCCGTTATTTGATGTGAAATCATCTTCCACTAATTCGAGTTTTCACAGGTGAATTCATTATGTAAACATGTACGTATCTTAAGCATTATATTCAAAGTTTAGATATAGTCACGCTATTGTTTTAGGATTTGATATTTCGATTCTTCGAATTTTTTGATCTTTAATACATTTTATTATCTTTAGCGGTTGGTAAAGCGGTTGCATTTGGACTTACCAACCTCGAGGTCGAAGGTTCGAACCCTCTCAGTGCATTTTGCTTGTGTCCTTGGACCAGGCACTTTACCTACGTTTGTCTCTCTCCACACATGAGTAAAACTGGGTACCTTCTTGATATTGTATAGGCCCACTGGGGAGGCTAACAAAGGCAGCGTTGAAAGAAACTGCCCATTCTGCCACACAAGGCCGAGGCTTGGTACGATGGGTTCCTATTCCCCTACTTTCATAAATGAATACGGGACTACCTTTTAAAGGAAATATAGGCCTACATTTTTCTTCTTTTTTTTCTGTTTCTACGTACAACGTTTATGGTTGAATTACACGGAATTAAATGTTTATATTGACCCTATCTTCCACTTTCCATAGTCCAACATTTAGGCTTACACTAGAAGCATATGTACCGTACCGTACATAAAATACATACCGGTAGACATTCATTTGATATTACAGTATATAATATATTTTAACACAATTTAAATATGTTTTATATATTTAAGTTTATTTATGTGTAAATTGAACCTTGGAAAAAGAATTTCTTGTAAACATTATTTTAGTGACAATAAAGAGAAACTTGAACTTGAACTTAATATGTTTTATTTCAACCAGGGAAAAATTATTGATATACAAAAAAGCATGATTTGTCTGATGTGAGGGCAAACATTGCATTACAACAACAACAACAAAGATGTGTATAAGAGACAGCTATTTAGAAAAACTATGGTTAGTAAGAATGTTTGTTGACATAATAAGTTACAATGTTGCAACAAACCATTCAATCGGATCAATCAGAACAGAGCATGCATTACGCGTATGTCCCACAGGCACGCATGTCTATCAGGTTTACACTGCCGTTTTGTGGGACGTTACCTACAACTTTTAATATAACGGAATAACGGAATGATACATTAATTGTTCCTGATAGCAGCCACGTCTAGGGTCGTGTTTTTGTACCAACAATATAGTTAAACAAAAACCAATATTGATTGCAAAATAGTCCTCAAAATCAAATTGTTTCCTTCTTAACTCGTCTGCAAAAAAAAAAACTTTTCGTGCAAATATAATATAGTAAAATCATATACGAATACTAAACATAAGTAATATAATACAATATTAGCCTAAATTGATTTTTAAAGACATAATTATCAGCAAACATCCCAGTATTCAGCGCAGCACACAGAAGCAAAGCAATGCATTTGTCTAGCCTAGCAGTTTGTCCAGCATAATATAATAACGCCATGCCAGTTGCTAGGTCCTGATTGGTCAAAATGTTTTGCAGAGTAGGGTGAAGCAACTGAGTTATAATTCAAGTAATTTGTGTAAACATAACACTGAAAATTGAAGTCATTACGTGTTGGCATTTAACTATTATCTCAATGAAATACAGAAAAAAAACCAAATATTCTTGGACATCGTTATTATGTCGATTAAAGTTAACTAACATAGGCCTACTGTATAAATATGGAAAGGTAGGCCCTAATGTATGAATACAGTATGCAATGAGCGAGTTACTATCGCTGATCAATAGAAAACTCATTTCATTCATTAAATATTTTCTCACGTTTATATATTTGTGAAACAAAAATTAACCCAATACAACGTCTACCCAGGCACCTCCACCTGGACCAATACAATGACGGCTTCGAAACTGCCACATAGGAGTATCATCAAAACAGGCATATTTATCCAGGTACGTAATTTGACCTCAATGCTGAACCATCTTCATGTGGTATTGCAATTTAACGGTAAAGCCCACAACTTAAACTATTACTGCAGATTATTTGATATATTCAGCGGAATTTGCAAACGTTACTAAGCTTCTAATATTCTGTACGTCGTCTGAAACAGAAAAACACCCCAATATTTTTAAGAAATTAGGTCCATGACCAGGTAAGTGGCTGAGGCCTAGGACTACCTGACAAACAACACGGCACACCTTCTGCGCATAACAAGTACGTATTTCCTAGTCGTGATCTTGTATTAATACTCTTCAGAAATCCGGTACACAACACACAGAATTCTTCCAGTATGATGACTAATTCATCGGTACGAAAACTTATCTTTTCCACGATGTCTTGGCAGATTATATTTTTGATCTTTACTACTGGGATTACACTCATAAATGTTTCAATGGCGCATTCGTGCAAGTAAGTTTTAAATGATTATTTTTATGATATAGATCTATGTGCTTGTTTAACATAGAGCATATCTACATACCCTTCAATCACATTTCAACTACAAAAGCGAAATCTAAACAATTTGCTATCAAATTTATGTATTTAACATTATGTATATATTATTCATAATTTGATTTAAATGTTCGGTTTGTTTCTATTTTTTTCACAGTAAAAATCGGTTATGCCAGCTACTGTGTTGCGGAGACGTACGTTTACCTGACGTCAGACTTGAATGCGATAAGAGCTGTAACGAATGCAAAACGAACAATTCGGGTAAGTTAGTAGTTTTCATCATCCTTATTTATATCTAGGCCGTATATTTTTATTTAATATTTTTAAGAATAGTTGGCCCCTAGGCCTAATTCTATAAGAAATAAATACAAACGTACTGTTTCAGTGAGTCTTTGATATTTTGGCTTCAAAGTGTTGGAGAACGATGCAGTACAAATTAATCGTTTTTGCCGTTTTCTTTGTTATTTCCTTTGTAGCATTAGGGTATTATCATAGATATTTTTCTTCGGATTGATAATTAATACACCATTGTGGTTAGTGTTAGGCAAGGGAAAAGAAACAAACTTCGGAAAGACACTGAATGTACGGCAATTATTTAGGAAGTTCACATCTAACTCTGCTTTCTAGACTTTTATCGTTGTCTTTTCAAGCTTTCTAAGTGTTTGAATAGTGATTCAAACACTTATAAAGCTACTTGGATACGCACCAAGGTTCCTTGTAAAATACAAGGGTTATCATAACGTTACTAAGCTTCTAATATTCTGTACGTCGTCTGAAACAGAAAAACACCCCAATATTTTTAAGAAATTAGGTCCATGACCAGGTAAGTGGCTGAGGCCTAGGACTACCTGACAAACAACACGGCACACCTTCTGCGCATAACAAGTACGTATTTCCTAGTCGTGATCTTGTATTAATACTCTTCAGAAATCCGGTACACAACACACAGAATTCTTCCAGTATGATGACTAATTCATCGGTACGAAAACTTATCTTTTCCACGATGTCTTGGCAGATTATATTTTTGATCTTTACTACTGGGATTACACTCATAAATGTTTCAATGGCGCATTCGTGCAAGTAAGTTTTAAATGATTATTTTTATGATATAGATCTATGTGCTTGTTTAACATAGAGCATATCTACATACCCTTCAATCACATTTCAACTACAAAAGCGAAATCTAAACAATTTGCTATCAAATTTATGAACTTAACATTATGTATATATTATTCATAATTTGATTTAAATGTTCAGTTTGTTTTTATTTTTTTCACAGTAAAAATCGGTTGTGCCAGCTACTGTGTTGCGGAGACGCACGTTTACCTGACGTCAGACTTGAATGCGATAAGAGTTGTAACGAATGCAAAACGAACAATTCGGGTAAGTTAGCAGTTTTCATCATCCTTATTTATATCTAGGCCGTATATTTTTATTTAATATTTTTAAGAATAGTAGGCCCCTAGGCCTAATTTTATAAGAAATAAATACAAACGTACTGTTTCAGTGAGTCTTTGACATTTTGGCTTCAAAGTGTTGGAGAACGATGCAGTATAAATCAATGGTTTTTGCCGTTTTCTTTGTTATTTCCTTTGTAGCATTAGGGTATTATCATAGATATTTTTCTTCGGATTGATAATACACCATTGTGGTTAGTGTTAGGCAAGGGAAAAGAAACAAATTTCGGAAAGACACTGAATGTACGGCGATTATTTAGGAAGTTCACATCTAACTCTGCTTTCTAGACTTTTATCGTTGTCTTTTCAAGCTTTCTAAGTGTTTGAATAGTGATTCAAACACTTAGAAAGGTACTTGGATACGCACCAAGGTTCTTTGTAAAATACAAGGGTATCATAGATATTTTTCTTTTTGCTCATTTAAAGCGCATAGAGGCAACTTTATTATTATAATATTATTTAATGTATAGATATAACCTAATAATAATAATAATAATAATAACAGCAACAACAACAACAACAACAACAACAACAACAATAATAATAATAATAATAATGATAATAATAATAATAATAATAATAACAACAGCAACAACAACAACAAT